CGTCTGGATAACAGCAGACTGACTGCTGGTAAAATCTACGACAGGTCTGGACCACTCGTAAATTTTGTTCGTATCTGAAAAACATTGGTGAATGCCACAAATTCTCCTAAATCACTCGTACGCACAACTTAAGAACAAATCTGTGCGTACGAACGGTTCTTGCATGAGGCCCAATGTTTTTTAAAGTAGCTGAAGAAATACCAATGCATTCCTAAGGGAAATGGTTGGTTGTAAATACAGTTGAATCGTATAGTAATATAGTGTAATAGTGATAATAAGTAATAGTATAGTAAGTATAAAAGTTGTTAAAACCAAAAGTCATAACAACTGTGAWAGGTTGAATGATTTATTATGTGAATACTAAAACAGCACAAAGTTCTCAGAAATAGATGGATTAAAAAATCATATAAAAAATAGGAAAATGTGTTGTTTTGTTTGAAAGCTGTCTCAGCTTTATGACACAACAAAACAAACTTCCTCATGAGTATTTTTTTTCCTGACTGGGAACCAAACCAGGGGTTTTGGGAGAGGTCAAATATTCTGCTATGTACTTCACTGAGCATTTATAGTGGGTTTGATGTTTTTAATCTRAGACATGATGTCAGTTTAACAATAAAAACATTCCTTTGTTCTCTGACAGGTCTGACCTGGTTCCTGTGTATTCCTTTGGAGAGAACGATGCCTACAGGCAGGTGATCTTTGAGGAGGGGACCTGCTGGAGGGCTCTGCAGAAAAGGCTGCAGAAGATTCTGGGCTTTGCTCCGTGTCTTTTCTATGGCCACTTCTGGGGCATTGTGCCTTTTTCCAACCCCATCACTACTATAGGTGAGGTGGACTTGTGTGTGTGTGTGTGTGTGTGTGACTACAGACCACACTAGTTGATGTTTTAAGTTCAGTTTATGCAACTATTGCAGTTTATTTGTTAAAAAACATTTGTGTAAAACTCAGGTTTGTTGCAGATGCAACATGAGAGATGCAGAAAGAGCAGAAAACACTTCATTCCTGATGTTGCAGAGCTCATAATCTGCTGATCAGACACAAACTGAAGCTTTGAAACCTACTTAAGCTCTCATTCGGTCAGTCTCATCTTCTGACAACAAACATCTGTTATTGTGAACCTCACTATGTGAAGCGGGGGTCATACTGTATATGTTACCACTGTTTCTGTTTGCAGTGTATATGCAGCAATAGCTAAAGACAACTAGATACCGTATAGTGGTAGCATATATGACCCCCACACATTCGCATAGCAACAATGCACATGAACTCAGAACTCACCAGAACAGATTTATTGTTTTGTGTGAGGGTTGGGGGGTGCTCATTGGTGCACCCAKTGGATAGCCCTTCATGAGAGCTAAACAACAACAACAGCAACAAATCTGAAGATCCTATGTTAAGTAGTTCTTGAGTTTATAAGATTTATGTCCAAACACCTGCTTTTAGATGGGGGTCCAGAGCGGCAGTGGYGGGGTTGAGCTCATTGGTGGGCCCGATGGATATTCCTTCATCAGAGTTGAACAAAAAAAATGAATAAATAAAAACTGAAGCTCCTATGTGAAATAATTTTTGAGTTGTAAGCATTTTGTATGTCTAGTTTAAAAAGAGAGGTAAGAAGCATTTTCTGCAATAATTAAGGGTCATGTAAGAACACATAAAGGTGCTGGTCATAAAATTAGAATATCATGAAAAAGTAGATTTATTTCAGTAATTCCATTTAAAAAGTGAAACTTGTATATTATATTCATACATTACATACAAACTCATATATTTCAAATGTTTATTTCGTTTAATTTTGATGATTACAAATGACAACAAATGAAAATCTCAAATTCAGTGTGGTAGAACTAACACTTTATGCATCATATCATATTTATGCACTTTATGCAGCATATCAGAAAATTAGAATATTACTGAAGACCAATAAAAACAAAGGATTTATAGAAATGTTGGCCAACTGAAAAGTATGAACATGAAAAGTATGAGCATGTACAGCACTCAGTATTTAGTTGGGGCTCCTTTGGCCTGTATTACTGCAGCAATGCGGCGTGGCATGGAGTCGATCAGTCTGTGGCACTGCTCAGGTGTTATGATAGCCCAGGTTGCTCTAATAGTGGCTTTTAGCTCTTCTGAATTGTTGGGTCTGGTGTATTGCATCTTCTTCTTCTTCTTCACAATACCCCATAGATTTTCTATGGGGTTAAGGTCAGGAGAGTTTGCTGGCCAATTAAGAACAGGGATACCATGGTCCTTCAACCAGGTACTGGTAGCTTTGGCACTGTGTGCAGGTGCCAAGTCCTGTTGGAAAATGAAATCTGCATCTCCAAAAAGTTGGTCAGCAGCAGGAAGTATGAAGTGCTCTAAAACTTCCTGGTATGTGGCTGCGTTGACCCTGGACCTCAGAAAACACAATGGACCAACACCAGCAGATGACATGGCACCCCAAACCATCACTGACTGTGGAAACTTTACACTGGACTTAAAGCAACGTGGATGAAGTGCCTCTCTTCTTTTCCTCCAGACTCTGGGACCTTGATTTCCAAAGGAAATGCAAAATTTACTTTCATCAGAGAACATGACTTTGGACCACTCACCAGCAGTCCAGTCCTGTTTCTCTGTAGCCCAGGCAAGACGTTTCTGACACTGTCTGTGGTTCAAGAGTGGCTTGACACAAGGAATGCGACAGCAGAAACCCATGTCTTTCATACGTCTGTGTGTGGTGGTTCTTGAAGCACTCACTCCAGCTGCAGTCCACTCTTTGTGAATCTCCCCCACATTTTTGAATGGGTTTTGTTTCACAATCCTCTCCAGGGTGCGGTTATCTCTCTTGCTTGTACATTTTTTTTCGACCACATCTTTTCCTTCCCTTCGCCTCTCTATAAATGTGCTTGGACACAGAGCTCTGTGAACAGCCAGCCTCTTTAGCGATGACCTTTTGTGTCTTGCCCTCCTTGTGCAAGGTGTCGATGGTCGTCTTTTGGACAACTGTCAAGTCAGCAGTCTTCCCCATGATTGTGTAGCCTATAGAACTAGACTGAAAGACCATTTAAAGGCCTTTGCAGGTGGTTTGAGTTAATTAGCTGATTAGAGTGTGGTACCAGGTGCCATCCATTTTGAACTTTTTCACAAGATTCTAATTTTCTGATATGCTGAATTTGAGATTTTCATTTGTTGTCATTTGTAATCATCAAAATTAAACGAAATAAACATTTGAAATATATGAGTTTGTATGTAATGTATGAATATAATATACAAGTTTCACTTTTTAAATGGAATTACTYAAATAAATCTACTTTTTCATGATATTCTAATTTTATGACCAGCACCTGTATATCCCACTGCCTTTAATAACAACTTTAGACTAAGATCATTTGTTGCTGAGAAATAATGAAGTTAAAATTGTTTTAGTCAAACCTTATGTACAGTGGCATGCAAAATTGCAAATTCTCATGCTCTCTCACACAATTTGTTGGCACCTAAAGTCTGTGTTTAGCGACTCTCGATCACTACCACACCACACAAACGTGCACAAAAACAGTTATTCAGTTTTTGGAAGCAGGCACTATTTAATTAAAGCAAAAAGAGAAACTGTCAGTGCCGTTAGAAGCAGATGAATGCTGCACCAAATTGCTGATTGTGCCGAATTATTAAACAAATCAAAACTGTATCAAAAACAAATTTGATCATAATCATTTAATCTGATAACATATAAACAAGTGAATTGTAGAATGATTCTTTAAAGACTTAGTTTTCTTTCAAACAAACGGACATTTATTAGATGATTAGTCAGTCTATAAGTAAAATTTAAAATACTTTTTTTTTCAGCATAAGCAAGTTAAATAAAAAAAAATAAGCAAGTTAAATCCATGAACCAACTTAAATCAATCGAATCCCACTCCTCCTCCTTACTTCAGGTGGGCCCCAAGGCTCTGTCCTGGGGCCCCTTGTTTTCATCATCTACCTTCACCTTAGTAATATCTTCTGTAAAATTTAACATCAACTTCCATTGTTTTGCCAATGACAACCAGCTCTTCCACTGCACCTAATTCCCTTCCTCCCTCACTTCCTGCTAAGCTGAAATTAAATCCTGGTTCATGTCTAACTTCCTTACATTAAACAGCGATAAAACAGAGTTTCTACTAAATCCACCATATCTAAAGTCAACAGTTTCTCCCTCACCATTCACAGTTCCTTGGTTTCTCCCTCCCCTCATATCAAGGGTTTGGGTGTCATTCTTGACAGCACTCACTTTTTTCACTCTCACATCAATAATACTGTATTACCCAGTCTGCATATTTCCATCCCTGTCCCCACGCTCTGTTTCCATCCTGGTTCACAGTCCCACATCATCACCAGAAGCTCCTCATTTCACCACATCACCCCAGTTTTACTACTTCACTGACTTCCAGTCACATTCAAAATCTTGTACACATTCAAGGCCGTCCACAACATTGTCCCTGCTTATTTGTCTGATCTCCTGCACATCACCACCCATTCACGCTCCCTTCGTTCTTCCTCCACCTCAGCGTGCCTCCTGTCCTCCTCAGCACCAGGGGAAACAGAGCCTTTTCTCACTCTGCTCCCCAAGTCTGGAACGCTCTTCCCTCTGATATCTGTAATATTGACCCTCTACTGGCCTTCACTTCACAACTCAAAACTTATGTTTGTTAGCCTTTTCATTTTAATTTCTTATTTTCTTGGTTTTAGTGTTTTTATAACCATTTTGTATTGTTTAATTTTGTGTTTTTAATGTTGTGAAGTGTCCTTGTGTGTTTTGAAAGGTGCATTTTGTCATAATTCTTTGTTTGCTTTTCTTGTAGTTGGAGAGCCAATAACAGTGCCAAAAATTGAGAACCCAACTGAGGCGATGGTGGATCTATACCATGGGATGTACCTCAGGTCCCTGCAGAACCTCTTTAACAAGTACAAGACTCGCTTTGGTCTGAAAGAGAGCGACGTCCTCCACGTCCAGTGAGAGGACAAGCAGCTCCTGCTGAAGACCTGAACTGTCCCGGTGGCTGGTTTATCTCTGGACTGTGAAACTGTTCACCCGCAGACTTTAGCTAAAGAAACCTCTGCTTCCACGCACATAAGCAAAGCTCTGGCTCAGGGAAAGTTTCCACAGCAGTGGCTTCTCACTGTTGTACTTGCTTGGACAATGTGACACCACCTCCTACATTGAAAGCTGTGGAGACCTATTTGAACTGGAGCTAAACTCCATTTGGAGCTGTGAGCAGAGCTTAGAAACCACACCTGGTTTTACCTGTGCAGTCTTACTGTATGTCTGTAATCACTTCAGGACACTAAATGCAAAATACAGAAGCAATGCAAGTGGTAGACACCACTTTAATATCATGATTAGCCCAAAGGTTAATTGAGCCAAAGATGAATGTTGTTCTTTCAGTGCATTGATTTCTACTGTATGTACGTGCCAAGCGGAAGTTTGTTGCCACCTGTGATTGTAAGATGCCATAAAGTATTAATTCTATTTTGCAGAGGATGAAGCCTGTTTCAACTATTGTACCTCTAATGATTTTTTATGCACTTTTTGTATTTTGTTCTGAAGACTAAGTCTTAAAGAACAGTGCCTTTTGATGAGATTCTTTTAACAAAGTCAGTGTGCTGCTTTGCTTTTTCTCTCATTTCCCTGGCACCGGTGCAATGAAAACCTTGAATTTCTTGTTCGGAGGCCTTTATCAAATATTTAGAGCAGCAATTTATAAAGCTAAAAGAGGTTTGTTCTGGACAAATCTGGCATCTGATTCCATTCGATGTATTGGATAATCATACCTTGTGTGTGATCGAAGGATAGGGGTTACTCTTGATGATTCCTTATTTGTAGTAAGTTACTGTATTTATTCATGTATAATACTAGAAATTCTACCCTAAAAATCATCCGTAAAGTGGGGGTAAAGTATTATACACGGGTTATTGATAATTAGCTTTTTATGCTTCGTAAGTTCAAAAAATGATTATCGTATTATACTCGACATTGTATTATACATGAATAAATATGGTAGTCAGTATAAGCAGGTGTTTCTGGCCTTTGCCTGTTATAAAGGCAGAGAATCTTGGTCTGGTAACCATCAGCCTGTGAAAGCTTTCGGCAAGTTGATGAGTGRGATGATAAGAAGTAATGCGATCGAAGATGAAGAGCAGTTTTCTCGTCTCAACATTGTGAATTTTTTTCTAAACACTGTAATCCCTGTGCAATAAGTCAGATCAATAATAAAAACAGGAGATCCCTTTGTGATGGAAGACATGTCTTCTAATATGTAAATTAAAGTTTTTTATGTTTTCAGGACACATTTGTGTGAGTCGTTCCCCCCACCCCCCTCTTTGTTTACTATCTTCTACATTTCATCAAATGTACAGCATTGGTCATAATAATTCATGAGCCAGGTGCATAGGACTGGACTACCTTCATAAAATACAGATTTAGGMTGTATTCACACCTGACAATTTTGTCCGCTTTAAATGGACCAGAGTTCATTTCCAGCGTTGGTCCGGACTTTTTGTGCAGGTGTGAATACACTCATGCGAACTCTGGTGCGGATCAAAAAAACGGACCGAGACCCGCTTTTTGAGGTGGTCTCAGTTCGCTTCCAAACGAACTCTGGGGCAGTTCACTTCAGTTCGCTTTTGATGTGAATACAGACCAGACTAACTGAACTAACTGCATTAAACATGCGCTTTTTTGGACTTCTCAGGTCACCATTGCTGAGCTAAATAAATTGAAATCATACATGTTTCGTCGTCTCCTGTTAGCAGCTCTGCTGCCAGCATGTTGTGGGTCAGAACACGCAGAGCACCTCGTCTCCTTTGGGTTGCAAGACACATTTACATGACACCGCTCCAAAATTAGAATTTCATCGTGAAACCACCATTAAATTAGCTACTTTTGACATTTTAAATGCTATTGCAATTGTACTATCAGCAAAAATGTGCACATCAGAACCGCAGGACTTCCATGTTTTTTCTGGGTCTGTGTGCCCCATCCTTTTGGTCTAGTGGGAGCCATGATTGTCACCCTCGTGGCTTTGTTTACAAGTTATAGTTCGTTTGCTAAAAAGCACAATGTGAATGCAAACCGCACCAAACAAATAATAATAATAATAATAATAAAGTCCCCTTTAGGTCCGCACCAAACAAGTGGACCAAAGGACCTTCCTGGTGTGAATACACCCTTATATACACTGAGATCATTTGACTGCCTAAAGATTTCCCACAAGTGGATCTTATTTATTAATTAGGTGACYTCTGTAGGTAAGAGGGCGATTAAATATATATGATTAATATAGATTAGATTACTTTATATCACAATAGAACTTTATAGAAAAATAATACATTTGCAATTTTATTTGCAAAATACTGTCCTATTTTTAGTAAGGCAAATTAAAAAAAAAATCCTTGAGTTGAATCAAAGATAGACTGTGGTAAATAGTACAGAGCCCTGAATGTCTGATAACAGGTCATGTTATTTTAAGTCAACACTGTTTTGAACCCTTGTAGCAGAACAAGTAATGGTTTCAATAAAGACTATGAAGTACAAAGTACAAGTTCAAACTAAAGTTCAATGGTTCCTTTTAGCCACAGAAAACTGGTTGGTGTTGATATGGACCACTACAGATCAATAACTGTAAAACAAAAAGGGGATGTGCTGCCAAAACTTGCAAATTCACTGAAAGCAAAAATCAATGTGAAATACAAAGTCCTTTGATTAAAAGCGTTCATGACTGCAGATCGCCTCCTGGTGGTTAGTTTAAGATATTGCATGTAATTTTTTGTTTACTAGCTTTTGCTATTCTATTTCGTGTTGTTGTGCAAATCATTGCAAAATATTGCACAAAAACTTTTGACAAAATATTGATAGGAGGGTGTGACAAATTTACTGCTTAATATAAAAGTTCAAATTTTAAATAAAAACTTGTTTTCAAAATTAAACCATTAATAATCTTTAGGTATCCCAAATCTTATGGATTTTTGCCCTAATTTCAGTTACTTTTTTTGTTTAAAAGGAGCCAGACTATAACAATGGGATAGTCAGCATATTAGTAGTGAGGAAAGCTCAGACTAAACAAAACGACCTAGTGTTAATCAGAAGCATTTGAGATTTTGGTTTCTTTTGCCATTTTTTTAATGAAAGCCAGTAAGCCAATATGATTGCATTTATGCTGTTCACTTAAAAAAAGAAAAGAAAAGCTCTAATAAAGAATACAATTACATTAGCCTGGCCTCCTGGGCCTCAGCGTCAGCTGCATGTCACGCTGTTCTGTACAACTTCCTTGTATTGTGCAGATTTGACAGATTTCAACGGAAGCTCGCGCCTTCTTTAATGATAAACACTTACTCCAGCCAATAGCAGCACGATCTGTTGGAAATAGACACCGCCTCTTTTAGACTGARTTTATTTTCAGCCAATCATAAGCCTCGGTGACGTAGCTCCTAGCCGGAGACGGATTTCCGAACTAATGTCTGTAGTTTGTTTACCTACCTCCGGTTAGCTGACAGCTGTTGTAGAGCTTTACTCACACTCTTGCATGGTCGCGGGCAGCGTTTGGAGCTTTCATCTCAGCGTGGCGCACGTCGAGCATGGGATGTTTTTGTTGAATGAAGCGGGGACTCGCTTGATGCCGACAGGAGGATGAACTCCATCAGCGGTCGGGTCCTCCTTGCTGTCCCCGCCGCCTCTGTCACAAACTCTGGAGCTTCATCCTCCAGAGCCTTGCACGTAGAGCTCACATCACAGCAGGTAAACGCAAGCCCTCTGAACTGGTTTTGGTGGGGAGATTTTGTTTTAAGGTGCTTAGTTTGAAGCAGTCCGCAGCGTCGGTTCCAGCTGCTGCCCAGGCGGGCCTGTCAGGCTTAGCCACTAGCCTCAGCTAGCTTGTTGCAGCTACTTTACAGGAACTAAATGGAGATGTCTGGACACAGACTCACCATGTTCTGGTAAAACTGTCCTGGTGGCGTTCTTGTTCTTTAAACAAGTCTTTAATTGTCCTATCTGGACCCGACATTTCATACCGCGTCTTTTGCACAGCCATAGCGGTGTCAACATACACGAGTGTAGCTTCCTGTAGCTCAGATGAGTTGTTGAAGKTTTTTAATTCTGATTTCAATTATATGTATCATTTTGAGCTAGTTTAACCATTTCAATTAAAACTGATAATGACAATTTACTGATGGCTTGCACTCCTTCCTTTCTTTCATTCATTTATTCATTCATTCATTGACTTGAAGGAACTGCAGCTCGTGTTTTCTGGTGTCTTTATTTAACTGACTTTAGTAAAACTACTGCTCACTGCAGATTATGAAGTCAAACGTAAAGGTTTATTCTGAACTATATCAAATGGTGCAATTTTACAAGCTGTTACTCTAGTATTTTCCAAACACACTATTCTCCAAAGTCAGGGATATTTGTTGTTGATCAATGTTTAGATGTCAAATGTCATCTTGGTCTCATAATAATGTCAACATGGAAACAGCATGATGAAGAGGACTGTTGAAGAAAATCTAATTGAACCAGGAAATTCATTGGTTGATTTATGGATCAATCCTTGTTTGAGTGTTTAGACAGTTGTGCAAAAAGTACTGAAATACAGATTAGCTGAACAGGTGCATTCATGTTTAGAGAAGTTCATGTTTTGTTCACATGTGAAGCTTTTACAGCGTTTTAGGTTCATGCTGAAATTTCACCCGAAACCCAAATATCCCTAACATTTTGTGAGTGGTGCATATTTTAAAATGTGGGTGAAGCACTCATCTGAATGGGTTGAAAACCGTGCAGAAGCCTGATTCATGTCATTGAGTGACTGGTAGTTTTTTGCAGGTAAACAGATTTGGTTAGATCGGACAATTGTAGAATCTCAGACAAAARAATTAGGTAGAAATTAAAGATCTGCTTCTAATAGTCAAAGTAGAACGCCGAGTGTCAAATCTACATAGCAAGGATCAAGTGTTGAAGCCCTGCCAGAACAACTAGATTTTAGACCAGTAAGTTTACTGTTTTAATCTAACTTGTATTTTTTCTGCATACATACTGCATGTTTGGATTTCTTGATGTGTATGGACTTATTGTTTTCATTCACATTTGCATTGAGCATTTTAGGGTACCAATGTGCAAACTTTAAAACGCCCTTATTAATATCCTCTTTATTTTTTTATTTGCACTGGCAGCAGATTTAAAACTTTATTTGCAGTTCACACATCAGAAAGTTGACACGTTTTCTTAGCTAACGTTTTTATAGAATTTAGTTAGAATTTTGCATTGACAACTATAAAATACTTTCAGAAAATTTAGTTTTTTTTAAATATTGTACAGCTTTAAGAGCAAACACCACTCCTTCCACACCAGAAATGTGAGCTTACAGAGTCATTGGTAAACAGTGAAAGTGAGAGTGTGTTCTTTTTCTCAGTCCTGTTATTAAAGCCTCTTAAAGGGATCCCCGATTAGTTGTAACATTAGACTTTATTTGATAAACATATATTTTAACTGTAAAATAAAGACTGTAAAAATACTGTAGGCTGTTTAGTTTTGTACATTTTTAAAATATATTTTAACACGGATGGAGCCATTTTATTTACATGCAAAGCATTCTGGGTAAATGATGACATCAACTAGGTCCTCAGTGCGAGCCTGCTAGCGAGCTATATCCACCCTGAAGATTAATTTTGGACAATATCTGACAATCGACTCTTTGAAATGAAACCAGAGAGCGTTGACAGAGAGGAGAAGGTAGAAATGACTCAACCTGTAACTGAAAATATGGATGGAGGACAACAGAGCTGCTTCATGGAAGAAGAACCTCAACTTAGCCTGTTAGCCTTTGTGCTAGCACTGACGCTATATGGCTGTGTCCAAAACAGCAGGCCGGGTCCTCCGAAGGCTGAATTCGTCGGCTGCATATGTCATAGCGCCGCGGCAAAGGCCGTCCAAAACCGAAGACTCCTCCGATGTGGCCGACAAATAAGTCCTTCCTTTTCCTTGATTTGAAGGACAGGTCCGATG